GTATTTGATTGTTCTTATCAGCTCTTCTTTAAACATGCAGCAGTCTGTCTACAGATCTGAAGTCCTAAATTGTTGGCAGGCTCAGGAGACACACCTCAGGGAAACCCTGTGACTTAACCTGCAGGGCAACTGAAAAGATGACGAGATAGGTATGGAGGCTTCTGCTGGTGAAGAAAGAAGAGTAAACTTTTTCCAAGGGAAAGAATGCTGAAGAAAGAGGGAGGAAGGGGGAAAGAAGCATAAAGGGTGGAAGAAGACAAGAAGAAGGGAAGGAAGGAAGGAAGGAAGGAGGAGGAGGAGGAAGGAAGGAAGGAAGGAAAGAAAAAGAAGGGAGAAAGAAGGAAGGAGGTGGAAGGAGAAGGAAGGAGGAAGGAGGAAGAAGGAAGAAGAATATGAACAATAAAATGGCAATAAATACATATCTATCAACAACTGAATCTAAAAATCTAAATAAGTGAACAAGAAATCTAATGAAGAAAATAAACTGGTGAATAAAATAGAATCAGAAACATGGAAACATGGAACCAACTGAGGAATCTTAGAAGGAAGAGGGGGTGGGGAAGCCGGAAGAGATTAACCAAAGAACTTGTATCTATATATGCATTACCTATGGACACAGACAATAGGGTGGTGAAGGCCTGGTGTGGGGAGGGAACTGGGTGGAAGGGGGAGAGGAGGAAAAAGAGGGACATCTGTAATGCTCTCAACAATAAAGATTTTTTAAAAATAAAAAAAGAAAGAATGGTCAAAAAAAATGAAGGCAAGCAGAGTTCAAAACTGGTTATAAAGATGCTCAATGAATTAAGAGAAGAATTGATGATCTTAGTAAGAATCTCAGCAAGACAGGAAACATAAAAAAGGAAACAGAAGTCATAAAACAGACCCAGTCAGAAATAATTTATTATTATTTTTTTAATTAAATCTTTATTGTTCAGATTATTACAGTTGTTCCTCTCCCCCCCATAGCTCCCCTCCACCCGTTTCCCCTCACCCCACCCTCTGCCCTTACCCCCCTACTGTCCTTATCCATAAGGTATACAATTTTTGTCCAGTCTCTTCCCATACCCCCCACACCCCCTTCCCCCCGAGAATAGTCA